TTCAGGTCCTTCAAAGATCTTGACTCGCCCCTTGTAAAAATTATTAAATCATCCGCAAAGCTCAAATGTGATACCTTCATCAAGCCAGCTGGAGTGCCAAAACCAGCTACCTTCTTTCTCTCAACAAGAACTTTTAACCTTCTTGATAATGCCTCCGCTACTTGAATAAACAAACACGGCGAGAGTGGATCTCCCTGCTTAATTCCACGAGATGGCTGGAAAACACCTGTTGCAGAACCATTAACCATCACAAAGAACCAACTATTCCGTAGATTATTCATTATCAAGAGGATAAAACGAGGGGGGAATCCAAAACCCTGAAGGATCTTTTCCAGGATGCTCCAAGAAACCCTATCAAATGCTTTCATCATATCAAGTTTTAGAACGCTTTCATCCTGGGCCAAAACCACATTATCAATAATATCCCTTCCTGGTAAGAAAGCCGATTGCTCCTCCGAGTTGATTTTGCACAACACATTTTTCTATCTTTCAGTTAGTATCTTTAAAAAAACCTTATTAAGGAAATTACATAAACTAATGGGCCTGAAATCAGAAAATGTAGTCACCGCTGTTTTCTTCGGGATAAGAGTTATCACCGTAGTAGCAACGGCTCTTGGTAAAGGCACACCCCCATAGAGTCTTGACAAGCAGCCCCCAAAACCATCCATTCCAGTCGCACTATTCTCGTCTAAATTGAAGGTTCCTTCCTTTACATCATCCATGGTAATTGGCCGCTCTAACATTACCTTTTCCTCCATACTCAATTCATCATTTATTTCATGCGAGAAAGCTTGTTGTTTTTCATTTTGACGAATGTGAGGAGACTCTTCTGTGAAGAGATTTTGGAAAAAAAGCACCGCCTCTTTTTCAATATCACCCAACTCCGTCAAAACTACTCCCTCCTCCGTATGTATTTTTTGAATTCCAAGCTTCAAGTGCCTCTCAGTCAATGTTGCAAGAAGAAATGCCGAGTTACCATCGCCCTCCTTCAACCACTCTAATCGCATTTTTTGTTTCCAAAAGTCATCATGCTCTTTCAACTTCTTCAACAAGTCCGCAGTGGCTGCATTTAGGGATGCTCTATCATTTTCTCTCCCAGAATGATCATAGATAGTTTCCAGCCACCTCACATTCTCATCTACCTTTCGCAAGTTCTCAAAGACATCCCCACATTGAGTTTTATTCCACTCCCTAAGGACCATTTTTAAACGCCGGAGCTTCATAGAAAATGCAAGCATGCCAAGCTTCCCAATCGGTTGCGACAGCTCTCTGATAAGATAAGAGTTTAGTCCTATGATATACAGTTTGAAGTAGTGTTCTATTTGTGCGCTCTTGCTGTATTTATTTTGATTTCTTTAAGTGAAACCGCAATCCAATTATCGAAAATATTTATTTTCAATGACACTTGGTTAGTAGCCGTTCTTTTCATTCTTGTTTTTCAACCTTATGACAATCTCTTTCTTTTCAGTTACATTTATAATTATAGTGTTATTTCAACGTTTTGCATGCAAATCATACACGTATTGGTTTTTCAAACTAATAAGTTTATTATTCTAAATCTATCTTTTTGTACACGTGTTGCGTGAGGATGGTTTTATTTGGTGAGAGTGAGAGCTCACTTGCTTTAACCTTTTTTGATGTATTGATTCAAAATTTTGTTCCAAAATACTTCAATATGTCTTAAGGCTACTCCAAGTAAAGTTTAGATTTTGGAATTGAAAATTAATGAAATGCTTTATCATATATTTTCCCTGTATTAGAATTTTAAATTTTACTCCTCTTCCCTTGAAATAATATTTAGTTATTGTATAATTTTTAAAACCATAAACAACACAATCATTTTGAATATGAGTTAGTACAATATGTATCCTACACAAACAAATGAAATTTTACATTCTTACATAAATTATTCAATTCTTTACATTGAAACCCAAGGAAATGGAAAAAAGAGTAAAAAAGAAAGGACATTCATTATGATACGAGAGGATTTAATTACATGCTTGAGAAATCAATAAAAGTACTTCCATTAATAAAAAAGCATTGGTAATTGACTTTTTATAATATAAGCATTGGTAATTTACGTGATTAAGTTACATGATCATATGAAACATGTAAATTCTAAATAAGGTGATAAAAATAACTGCATGACCAACTAGCAAATGATGAGGAAAAAAAATTAAAATCAATTGTACAAGAAATCACCAACCTTTTGTCTTATTGAAAATCAAATTAACCAAACTAAACAAGGGTACAAAGAAACCAAACATAAATAAATAAATAAAAGTAGTGATTTAGGTGGCTAGCTATATTCTATCCACTAGAAATTAGTTGTAACAAGAAAGGTACAGTGGGTAAACATTACTTTTCTTTACTCCAAATATTGATATAGTAGCTGTCGATGTAATGGAACGAACAGTACAACTAATTGTAAGATGGAGAGATTAGATGTGCTCTCTTAATTGCATGTCATGAAAAATGAATATTAATTACTCTTGTGCAATAAATCAATCATCAACTGATGCACATATAAGTAGCGAGTTTAGTTGTTTCAGCATTCATTCACCTACCCTTCATGCCGTATCATTATCCAAATTTTTAGTGACAAATTATTTTGAGATTAAAAACATCAGTTACCAACTGATCGTATGGAATGCAATAACTATTAAAAGAAGAAAGGCATAAAATTATTAGTTAATTCTATATCATCATCATCATCATCATCATCATCATTATTATTATTATTATTATTATTATTATTATATCTTCATCTTCGCACTCACAAGGAAGTTAAAATAATGAAACACAAAAGTATCATTGGTTACAAAAACATTACATGCATAATTATTATTTTCTTGGTCTGTCATATATACCATATCATTATCCAAATCATTAGTGAAGCACTTATTGAGAAGGGGGACACTAGTTACCAATTGAAAGGATGAAATGCAAGGGTTATAAGATAAAAGGTAAAGTAAATTTTGCAATGGTTTGATCAAGGTATATTTGAAATAGCCAAAACCATACTTAAAATTTCCAAACTTTTTTGTATAAGAGAGGGGAGAAAAAAAAAGTAATGATACTTTTGAGTTGTGAATTGCGATGGCTTTCCATCAATTTTAAGTGATTTAGATAAGTCTAATTACTTTTGTAAACACAAATGGTATTAATTAATTATATCCTCTTTTACAAAGTAAATACACACAACATTTAATTTCAATATTTTTCCAAAAAAAAAAAATTTCATATGTCATTTGTAGTTCGTATAAATTCCATGGGTTTGTTTCTACTCAAGGTTAATTTAATAACTACAGCATATCTGAGGGCTAATATGAAATTAACCGAAATTATATCGAGAAAGAGAAAGCCTGCTTCCCATTTCAACTTCACCCCCCGATGAGGAAGCTCTGTCTCTGAAAAGCTTAGGTCTTGTTTGTTTCCTTTTTTCGGCCATTTTTTGTATGGGTTTTTTTGGCAAAAGCTTGTTTGGTGGCCCTTTTTTTGGCCCAATAGTTCCTTTTCTTGTTCTGTTTTATCAACAGTCATGCGTCCACAGTGAAAGCTAAAAAGTGAAGAATATTTACTGTATCTCTCGTGACCGGTCTGGGCATTCACTCCGAAATTGAATGATGGTACCTGCTTCCTTTCCTCAATTCAGTACTTCCGTAGTCTTACCCATTACTCATCAGCAAAATCCTCTGAATTCCAAATTTGGGTACAGCGGGTTGAGGTCAAATTTTGCAGATCTCAATATATAGCATCGCTGTCCATTTAATCCATCTAAGGTAGAGCTTTCTTTCGCAACAAAAGAAAGACTTCAATTTGCATGCTCCACCATGAATCAACTTGATGGGGTATGGGGTTTGGTTTACTAAAGTTGTCAACATATGTATTGATCCATTGTTCCAGTAAGAATCCGAGTTGAAATGTGCTTCCCAAAGAAAACATAATTCTGGTGTTTTGCTCATCGATCTATTAGGTAGGGTTTAGGAAACCGTCAACCAGACTGCCATCCCAACAAGCAGCCACCTATCGTTGCTTCATACAAGGTGTGTTTCATGTTCCTGCTTCATCGATGTTTATGTGTTGATTTATTTTTAAAGTATAAAGAATACAAAAAATTGTCCAATCTACAAAATTTGTGCATGTTATAATCAAGGAGGTAATTGGATTTTAGCCATTTGTCTAAACGATGGTCATATTCCTTTGTGCAATATATTTGCTAGGAGGGATAAAATTGAAGCCGATTCTGAACTCCTTGGCCATGTCCGTACAGTATACTCCCATCTGATCCTCTGCGAATGTTTACCTCTATCCCTCTCTCTTTCTGGTCAGCAAGTTTAAGAGTAGTCTGAAAGCTCTGATTCTCACTTTAATTATAGCACTATATTTATAATTATTCAGCCATTTCACCCAACTAAAGAAGTACTTCTCTGTCGTGTGTTTTTCTGTGATCCAAAAACCCAATATAACTTCATAAACTTTATTTTAAATTATGAGCTCTTATACAAATCCTTAAGCTGGACTGGATCATACGTTTGACTTGGTTATTAATCATGTCAATTGTTTGTAGATTTGAGGTCTTGTTCCTTTCTGATGTCCGAACCCAATTCTACAAAAGGAGTTCCAACCCAATTCTTCGATGACACCACAGAAACTGATGTAGCTTGCCACTTTCAGTCAAGTATGCCTTCTTAACCTTTTCGTTGTGTGTACGAGCGCTATTTCTTTTTCTTCTTTTTGACGTTTCGGTAAATATGTAGGCACCACTAACAGTGAGGATTCCCATTGTATCCAAAGTAGTGCTATTCAATCCAAAATAGCATCAAACGATCTTGCCCTTTGCATACAAAATTTTGAAGAGGTACTATTGTGAACAAAACTTAAAACTTATAAAATTTACTAAAGGCAAAAAGAATAATTATGCTACTGGCCCATTGTTGTTACTGATTCCATCTCACCTAATTCCCTCCTATCTCTCACATGTTTATTTTCTGTAGGAAATGGAATTAGAACGAAGGGAGATGTTACTAGAGGAACTCGCCCACTTTGTGGAGGATGCACAAGACAGCGGTTGTCTGACTTTGAACACCTTCACCAAGAAAATTTTTGAAGAGATCGCCGCGGAGTTGCATAAGCGCTTCCCAAACCACCGGCCATTCTCAGGTACTCAATTACAACAAAAGATGAATCGGCTTTGTGGCGATTAGCGGTTGTATAAAAAGCTACGGGAATTTTCTGGTGTAGGAGTTGACCCTGAAATGAGTGCAATAATCGCTGACCCTGAACAATGGGTCAATTGATTCAGGAAAAATTATAATAATGTGTAACATACATTGCTGTGTAATGTTGCTGCACCCTATTATGTATTATATTTGTCGCTGAAAGTGTTATTATCTGGTAAATGGAAAGATGTCGATATGTATGTTATATCTGATGATCTGCCTTTTGGCTGCAATGATGATGCTGTGTATTTTGTTGTATCCCTATTTTTTGTTAAGGTAATTTTCTTTCCTATATGTGTAAATGCTTTATTGTAAGCCATATTAGACATGTACAATCTGTTTTTCTCTGCCATTTCACTGGCTTTTCTCTTGGAAGGTGTTACAACTTTTCCCTGGTTCTTGCTTTTATTGCATACATCTATTGATATCACCGTGTCTTGATGGTTTGAAGCGTTTTTTATAAGTACCACTGCCGTTATTTTTTCTGGTTACAGAAAGACAGTATTTTGGTTAACAAGTTTAGACATGGTCTATGTGTGTTTTTTCCCCTTTAATTTGGTTCATGCTTCATCTTCAATTTTAGGTTTGAGTTGGTAGGCTATGGCATGTGAAAGGGGATGTAATATTGTACCTCTCTACGTTGGAGATTGTGTGTATGTGGTGTTCATGATAAAGATATACTCTAATCCAATTTTCAGAATTGGCATTGCTTTTCTGCTTGTCCTTTTTTTTCACATTCACCAAGACTTACCATTTTTTAAATTCATTTGCGAAAATAGTGTCTTGTTTTATTCTGGTTAGCACCTATGGCAACTAGTGTAGGATGTTTGACTATGCGACCATAAGACTTGTTTTATTTTTTAGTTGAGTTTCATTTTCTATATGCAATCAATTCTAATGTGCATGCACTCACAGAGTATTTTCTGAAACTATTAGGACGACCCCAAATGCAAGAAATTCAGGGAGCAAGGGGTACCGCACTATGAGGAGTGTACGAATTTGTTTTCAAAGACAACAGCTACAGGCGGTTATCGCGTTGAAACCTCTGTTGTTGCCAGAGACTCTGATCAAGAAAGACAAGTTGAGCAACATTTTCGCGGTACATCGGTGCACAAAATTGGTGGTGTGACTGCAACATATGAGGCTCGTCGTGTCCATGAAGCTGGTGCATCCTCCAGAAAAAGTGGAAAGGGGAAAAGGTCACTTCACTCCGGTGGGAGTGAAGGTAGGCTTTCAAAGAAAAGTTGTGATGAACAAATGGATGTGGCTGTTGCCTAATGGACTAATCAATAGTTAACCCTTGATGAGTGCATGGCCATCCTCAAATCCATGCAGTTGACTGATCTTAACATCTATGTCAGGGCGACGAACTACTTCAGGGACCCAATGAACTGCCAGATTTTTCTTATGACTGATCCGGAGTGGTGTATGTATCTGATTCTTGGTCCCCAGCCTTAATGCATCTTCTTTGGTTTATGAACTTGTTAATTGTAGTTATTTAAGTAAGTCCCTATTAACAACTGTCGGCATAGATGACGTAAGTGTTTCATTTTGCAATGGGGAACACAAATGAACATCAGTAGCTTATTTTGCATGTTCTGCATTCACTTTAGTGTGTGTTGCATGTTCTGCATTGATAAGTTCATGTTTAGGTGTTCAATGTTAGTTGTTGATTGCTGAAGTAGACATGTTTAGAGAAATATAATAGTTTAACCTGGTGGAGCTAGCTGGCCGGAAATATGTAAGGCAGCACATGTGTATTAGTTAGTCTTGTGGAGCTTGCTGGTGGGGCTTGCTGGTAATATGTAACCTTGGGGAATATAACCTGGTCTTGAACTTGCTTGCTTGAAAAATCATGTTTATGCTGCTACACTATTTAAGGCAGCACATGTGTATTAGTTAGACTTGTTATGTTTCATGTCTATAATAGCATCTTGTAATATCCTCGTAGCCGGAGCCTTGTACTTGTGGCGGACTGTAACCCCAACCCTTATATTAAAGTGCACCTATTGTTTTTCCAATTTTTGGCCGTAGATACATGTATGCTTCCAATTTAGTTTACTGCCAATGATATAGCATTTTTTTCGGCAAAAAACATGTGCGTTCTACCGGCCACTTGCATAATTTTCAAAACAGGCCCTCTTTATAGTGTCATTCCGATGGCCGACTGTCGATGTTTACCCCAAAACATGTACAACATAATTGAGCCACGGATGGCTCCATTATTTCCGCACATTACTCCGCACCACATTTTTCTTTTATATTTGAATGACCTGTAGTAATGCATTGCATTGTCATGTTGTCTACCTCGTTCGTAAAAACACTATTGGTGCAACTGTATCAGGAGTTCTCCTATCACCTTTTATTAGTATGATTGCTGTGTGGACGATAATCAAGTATGCCCATAGTGTATTCAGCTTTTTTTTTCTTACCCAAAATTTGTCGCATGGAAACACGTCTTTGTATTATTGAAAATCAAATTATTCAATACAACTTGCCACAAGTGTTGATCTCTACATAAGGAGATTACAAGTTTAGATCTATATAAGTGAAGCATTGCACAAAATCATTTAAAAAATCCATGAGTAGTGTTTTCCTCCCCATTTTTTACATATAAGCTATCGGGAATAGCATTTATTTGTTTCTATATGATATGCAATAAGAGTACAAACTAGTGCAGGTTTGAGCCAAGGGAAATAATAGTGTCATCCGGTGCTCCATTTTGCATTTTGCAAAGGTACAAAAATTTCATCAAAGAGTAGTTCAAATAATTTTTGCATTATCTTTTTGGTACTTACATAATTGAATCAAGAAGTGATATACGTTTGCAACGAGTTATCCCTTTTTATTTCATTTATAATTGTTTAAAGAATAATATCATAACCTTACCTTGCCCCGTTGTTTTGCAAATATTTTGGCTATTTTCTTCTACCGTGTCCAAGGTATGCATGTATGGTTTTTTTGCTATTTTCTTTTTTCGTGTCCAAGCTCTGCGTGTATTGTTTTTTTTAATTATTATTCATATTATAGTTCATTACGAACATTTATACGGTCCATCCACAAAAATTTATATTAGGACAAACATGGCAGGATATGGATGGAATTTTGGAGGGGAAGGCTCTGCAAGTAAGAACCATCCAACTAACTACGACCATGTCAATGAAGAAGAGCAAGAGCTAAATGACCTTGTTGACATGATTATGGCAACAAGGTGGTTGGAGTGATTGATGGCACACATGTTCCTGCATGGGTTCCTGAACACAGAAGGGATGCATTTCGCAATCACCATGGACAAATCACTCAAAATGTATTCGCTGCTTGTGATCATGATATGAGATGTGTTTATATCACAACTGGTTGGGAAGGTGATTGGTTTTGAAGTTTCATGTTATTTATGGGTATTTGTATAGTATTTTGGAATAGATTATGCACTTATGTTATGTATTTTAATGTTTTTGGTTCGTAGGAGTTCTTAGAGATGATATGGAGCAAAATGTTCCATAAACACACATTTTTGGAGCATTTTGACAAGGAAGCACAAGAAGGAGCAATGACATCACATTCTCGTGTGGGCACACGAATCTCAGTCCAAAATTGAGCTTTAGAGAAAAAATTCCAGCATTGAGGCTGCATTCCCATTTGGCCAAACCGGAACAAGGACTAAAATGGAAAACTAAAAAAGTTTTGGGGTCAAAATGTAATTTTGCCATACTTGAGGGACCAATCTGCAAATCAGATTTTTGAAGGGCTACTGCGGCTGACCTATTTTCTGATTATAAATAGACTTTGCTTTTCATTTTGAAAGAGTAGTAGGTAGTAGAATAAAAATAGACGTAGTTTTCCAGTTTTAAGAAACTTTCAAAGGCACTTTCTTCATTTTTGGAGTCTTCCGAGTTCATAGACATCAATCGGTAACATTGTTTTATGAATTTTTCTTGTGATTCAGTTTTCATGATGAGTAGCTAAATTCATTCATCTAGTTGAAGGGTATTGAAATCTTGGTTTGAATAGTTGTAAGATTTAATTGTTGTTTCTCTCTCAATTTCTTGTGCGTATTTGCTTGTTCTATTGCATGATTGATATGATTATGATGGATTCATGAATAGCTGGTAGCATTCGATACTTCTTAATAATCTAAAACCAATAAGACAACAAGGTTTGCTGTTTAAATAGGGTATAATATAATTTAATTACTTGGTAAGTAATTATTTATGTTATAAGAACAAGTAATCTAGTTTAATATAAAACAATGTTTGTTTTATAGGAATTGGGATTGGGTCTATGTGTTTAATGCAGTAGTTTTCTAAATCTTAGGAGGTTCCAGGATTTATTTTTGACTAGTATATGATTAATGCAGGTTTCTTAATTATTGAAGTAAATGAAATATTGAATTGTTTGGAATTTCCAACAATGAAAACTAATCTACTCGTAAGTTAATTGATGGAGTCCATAAATTGTGTTTTAATTGTTGATATTTTATTAGTTTATGGATTCGGATGGATTTAATTCATTAGTTTTGTTATTATTTCATTTTAGAATCTGGAAATAAGAGATTGGAGCTAATTTGGCCTAATTTGGACGTCTAGGGACCTTTTTGCAAAATTGAAGAAGTTTTGGGGCAAAAACGAAGAAGCTGCAAAGTTTAGGGACCAAAGCTGCAATTCGTCCACCTTCTGCTGTTTTCCTGCGGCTGACCTAAATTTCTATTATAAATAGCATTCTTAGTTTTGTAAAAAGAGCAGCCGCACGTGAGGCAAAGGCTAGCACCTCAAACCTTTTATTTCTTCTAATTTTTCTTGGATTTCCATGGAGAATAAAGCCGCCATGTTTCGTCTATGAGTGGCTAAGGATTTTCTTTCTGATTCAAGGGATTTATTCAGTTATTCCATTATGAGGTTTTGTTCTTAATTTATTGTTCTTGCCTATGATTTAAGTATTTGTTGATTCTTGTATTGAGTTATGAAAGTAGATATCATTCAAATTGACAACTTGATTTGTTATTTATTTTTTAGTGCTATCTGCTAGTTGAATGATACGTGATAAACAAGAATCGGCACTATTGAGTAGCAATTAGACAAAGCATGTGTATTGGTGAGACATTGAATATGCATGTTAGTTTAAATGTGGAATCAATGAGGCAAAGTCTGAATAGTTGCAGCTATCTCAATTGTTTAGATTTTTGTTCAACTATATTTCCTTGGTATTTATGCTGTCATTGTTCGATATGGAACGCTATCGTGCCCAGCCGAATTATGATAAGGACTAATTGCCTGTGGAATTACCATCTCCATCGGTAGTTAATCTGTTGAAAGTGTGTGTGCCATGAAGGAAGTAAGTCCCAAAATTGATGTATCTGAGACGAAGGTAGCGAAGGAATTTGTTAAAGAAGAGCCGCATTATGTGGTACTTCCTCCATTTCCGAGCAGATTCTCAAGGGCTAAGTTACAGAAAATGAAATATCCTTTCATAGAACAGGTTTATGGTGTGGAAACTGCACCTACTCAAAACGCAGATGATTTGAAACGTATGAGAGTAGAGAAAAATGAGGCAGAGGCATTGGACGACAATGGGGTAATTGATCTTTCTATTTTATTGAGTCAAACTAATGTAGCTGATACTTCTTTTTCAGATATGTCAGTAGAGCCAAAGATAGAGGAGCCCAAACGGAATGTGGTGGAGAATTTTTCCAAGGATGCACATTTGGTGAAAAATTTTGATGAGCTGCCTTATCATGGTGAGCTTCTTAAGAAGTTTTGTGCTGAAAAGAAAGAATTCCAATTCCATGGTGTCGAGGTAGTTTTAATTGGAAAAAATGTATCTATTATGCCACAATCAAAATTTTCTTCCAAATGCAAGAATCCAGGTATGGTTACTACTTCATGCACTTTCAATGATGCATTTAAGGATGGGAAGCCTCCAAAAGTTGTTTTAATACCATTACCTAAATCTCTTGAGTGTGCATATGGACATCTATCTCGACCTCCTGAAATAGGGCTAATCGTAGATGCAAGTTTCGTGAGTCTAGATAGATGTGGAGTGTTTAAAGAATCAGTTAGAGGAGACTATTTTCCACCTCATTTTGTTTAATCAATGTCTAAATATGAATTTGGTCCATCTAACTTCGATTTCCTTGGATGTTGCTCAAAATTTTATCTACCCTTGTTAGGTGGAAGTTCAAAATTTCCACCATGAGACACACCAAATTGGTCTAGCCAAAGACAATAAAGAAAGGCGCTGTTGGGGAGGCAACCCAAAGTGTTTAAATTATGTTGTTTTTT